CCGAATATATAAGTTTTAGATATATAACACTAATGCTATTTCATATAGTATCAGATTTTCAGACTCCTCTAGGAGCTAAATTAAAGGAATCACTTGACAATAACAGCAAAATGCTAGAGCTGTACTTATAAAACTCCAGATAACAACATATGCTCTTGTATATAGCCCTAACTATTGTATCACACACGTGAAGTGACGCTAAAAAAATGCTTAGTCAGCAAGTTTCAACCGATCGTGTTTAAGCTCGCCCGCGTGACGTCATTGCATATAATTATGACGTATGTTAATGAGTGACGTCATTACTCCTCCTCAATTGTACGAGTATTAATTATAAATGAAGTGGTGGACACCCACCACCTCAAACTCCACCACCTCAAACTCCACCACCTCGCACCACCTCATCCACCACCTCAAAAATAAGGGTCGAACGGCCCCTATATTAGTACTGTCATTTCCAAAGCATGACTCACTGGAATATTGGAGACTAAGAAGCAAAGTCAACAGTCATATGTCAATACCAGGCCTCGTGTTTCCCTGAAATCAATCGACGGCAATGGCGTCGAAGAACGTAACATCTGTCTACGGCAATTTTGACAGTTTCCACGTTTCAAATTACTGTAATAAAACTTTAATTTTATTGTTACTTTGGATTTTTGACAAGCTAGAAACATGTCTACGTATTTCTTTAGTGTTTTTTTTTTCGAAGAAAACTGAGACTAAAATAGTGATTTACGCATGATTTGATCATCTGAACTATTCAAGTATCAAAATAGTAATGCACAGTGAATAGTATAAAAATTGCACTATACGGCAAAAAATTGCCGTCGTTGCCACAATGATCCACGGCATTTTATTCTCCCTCTACGGCAATTGCCGCGATAAAATTCGAACCCTGGTCAATACGATATGCTAATCAATCAGAGTCGCTATCTTGATCATTTTTCGATTTTTTGGGAGACAAATGGTGTCCCCGAAGAAGGTCGCCGATCGTGTTCACATAAACTCGTAGTGATCGTAGTCTGCCGGCGACAGTCTGTGTCGATCGGAACGTTGAACCAATTTCAACTTTCTTGATCCGTCGCCGATCGTTCTTGGACAGTCTGCGTTTGTGTTCAGTTCACATTGTCATTGTTCACATAACAATGCGGCACATGTCTGCGACTGCTTAATATGCTTTACTGTGAGTATTATCAAACTGGAAGAACTCTGAGATGCGATAATTAATCAGACAAATTCTGCTTATAGCACAAATCCGACTCTGTTACTCAGTATGAACGAGGGATCCATTACTGTTTTTATTTTATTTGTTTTCTAGACTACATGTACAGATGCTCACAACAAAAGGAATCTTTAAAATTATGGTGAAAAGCTGATGCATTTGGATAGACTAGTTTTGTAAAAAGAAGATTTTAAAATAAACGAAATTTAATCAACATTTAAAGTTGTTAATTATAGCAAATCTGGAAATATTTTATAATGCATGCAATATAATGTAACTCATTGAGCTCTCACTGAGTTGCAGGCTTACAGAACTTGCGAAATAAAGCCAGAAATTTCCTAGGGACCCTAACTGACCATAACCCTTGATGTTTCTGAACTTGCTAGTCATTTGGCAAATTTACTTTTTATTTAATGCAAATTTTTTTATGCACGTCTTTAAAAAGACGGAGTCAAGACTGTTCTGCGCATGTGCTATGTGAAAACCCTCTGAAGGCTCTGTTGTAAAGAATATCCAAATTTCGCGTTGTTTCGAAATCTTCTATATTGGAAACCCTTTGTTTTAGGTGATTGTGTACCTTGTGCAGGGTCACGGTTGAAAATCCTTTGTCTTTCTATTGTTTGACAATAGTCAGTTCAGAAAGCTTGGCGAAGGGACTGGGTACCAAGTATTTGTTTTGCTACCAGGGCTATATCTTAAGGCATATTTTGCAAGTAACGAAGTATTACCACCGTTTTTCGATGGAGAATGTTTGTGTTACATCGTTTGGTCAATTCTCATTGATTAAAACCAATATGTGCAGGGTCAAACAGACTGTTCAACCTCCATGTTTGTTTAGCGTAATTTTTTTGAAGTTTGCCGGGTTTCCTAACCAGGTCTTATAACAACCATAGTCTGAGTCAGACGAATAACGAACCACAATGATGTTTAGATATTAGTACATCATATTTTATGAATATAGTGTGCTGAAAATGCAAATAAAGCGCACATCCGCCGAACAGACTTGACCCCCATCCTTAAGATGGACTTCCAGATGGCGAATACCAGATTGGGGAACGCTTATACTACATAATAGACAAATCTGGCTAACATCTGTTTGTACCCACTCACATGCCTAGTTACTATTGTTCTAGTTGACAGAAGCATAGAATAGAACAAAGGTAACTAAGGCCATATAAAAAAAAAATTGTTGGTTAGCGTCCTTAGCTTTTGCCAAAAAGTGGGCGGGCGGGCGCTTTTTTTAAAATTTTTACTATAAATAATATATAAAATATAATATATAATTTTTAATTTTAACGCCTTGGTTTTAGTCACTGTTAGGTCCGAAACTGGATTTTCTTGCGCAGTACAGATATTTTTTTATATATTTCAAAATATAATTCATACCGTCATTTTCGCACGCAATTTCGCAAATTATTAACACAATTGACTACTACAGAAATACTACATATATTAGAGCCCGTTGATCAATAAAAGTCGTTTTTTTTTAAAAAATAAAAAATAAAAAAAAATCCTGAGCGGGGCCTTTTTTGTGGGCGGGCGGGGACGCTAACCAACTATTTTTTTTTATGTGGCCTAAGCTTTAGAATGATCTGCATGAGTGAATAACTCGTATACATAATTCTAATGCTTAGTTACTTATTTTATGCTTTTGTAAACTAGAGCAATAGTAACTAGGCATGTGAGTTTTCTAAATTTGTGAATTGGGTAGCAACGACGTAAACAACGTTAGTCAAATTTGCACGTCAGAATAACCAAATTTTATTTGATAATCCACAATACATTGCGATTTCAAGATGACGTTGTTTTTGTGGAAAAGGTCTATTTATGCATCAATTATTTCCCAGAGCACTTGCAACGCGTAGCTCAGCCGAGAAGCCTGGGTGCTAGCCCCTTGGCACATGGCGGGATTTCAAGTTTCCATTTTCAAACTTTTGAACACAAATATTTTCAATTTTCTGGCACTTTGAAAGGAGTTTACAGCGTTTTAGAACGGCAACGTAAAGAAGTATTTATTGTACTTTTTTCCTGTGTTAATAAACCCGTTTATCGAGCATGAATTTGGAAGCGAACGCTCAAAACTTGCAAGCCCTCGCTGATCAACTACAGGAAACGCTAAGTTCCGAAGATCAAGCGCGTAAAGACGGTAAGAAATTACAAGTTGTTTTTTAGTATAACTTGATTTAAAGGTTTGTAAGAGCTATTTTTAATAGACAGAATGGTTTTAACGGATTTGGTATACAAACTTTTAAACTAGCAAGAGAAATAGCGATAGGCCACTGGCTTATTCAGATCTAAATCTTCTATCGCGTTTCGAGTTTCAACTCTAACTTTTTATGTAAAACATATACAGTATTTAGAGGCCAATATACTAGGAATGTTGACAAAATATCATGCTGTAATATATACCGATTTTCACGTTATCAAAGCTTTTATAGAATTTAATATTACAAATGTGTTTGAAAATTATTTAAATTACCACCAAAATTTATTATAATATTTTCAAATAGCTACAGAATTATGCAGAATATATTTAGCGGGCAAGTTTGGGCATGGGTTAATAAGCATAATTAGTGACCAATTTTGGTCAAAACTATGTAAATATTGTTGTATATTGTCTAGCTGTCAAATTCCTAAGGTTAGGTAATTAAGTTTATGTTATGACTGAGTTTGTATATAAAGTTGACAAAAAGTTTAAAACGGATCACATATTTGTGATATCAAAGAATGATATCGGAATTGGCACTATGGGTAGAAGATATAAAGCCAGTGATAGCCTGTCTTCGAGTGATCTATTCAGCAACGTCTTGGTATATTAGGCATAATGGTTAGGTATTTATCAATTATTTAAAGTTCAGCGCTTGAAATTTTAAATTTTGGGTGCTTCCAGTGGGATACTAAGAAGTCTAAATCTGATATCCACCATGAAAATATAGTAGCTCACATTTGGATGTAGTAATATTCAGACATTGAAGTTATAAAATGAGTTTTCAATTGCAATGAATTTGATATAATGAATCTAAGATATGTTTGTAATAAGGATTTATAAACAACAGAAAAATACTGTACTGGTACTGTATCTGTTAGTGATTGAAAGATTGTGTCACAATCGGAAATTACTGATTACCGATTATTTATTCAAGTACAATCTGCCTGATGCCTACACACACAAAAATCTCACATCTTGTAACACGTTTGTCAACAAGCCGTCAACAAGTTGTCTTCGCACTGCTTGTCACAAGTTGTCAACAAGTTTGGAACAAGCTGTTAACAATTTGTAACAACCTTGTTGATATTATCAGGCTTGTTACAAGGTTGTTCCAACAAGTCTGATACAGTCATGATATAGCAGTATTGTTACAACCTTGTGTTGTCAACCTTGTAGCATTCTTGTTTATCATGATTGTATTAGACTTGTTAGAACAACCTTGTAACAAGTCTGATAATTCCATCAAACTTGTTACTAACTTTTTATTAACCGAACACGAAGGTGAGAAATATTGGACCGAGGTCTTTTTTGTCACAAAATAACGACACTTTGTGTCATGCATGAATATGCAGTTTTACTGATAGGACGTTAGACTGTAGCATGTAGCAGACAATTACATTTTGTCCTGAACAATGCTTGTGATATTTAGTACTAACCACACTTTTATGGGTCTTTAGAAATTATTGGGGGCGGGGGATGATTGCCCCCCCCCCCCCTAGTGTTCGCCACTAAGTTAAGAACAACCTCTTACCCAGGCTATTTGCTGTCATACTCTGGTGCCATGGTTAAGAAATGTCTGTAACCACAATGGATTGCACTGTTGCAAAGAAAATTCTAATCTCAAACCCTGAGTGACTTATGTTTTGGTTTAATATTATAATTTCTCATTTCTTTTTAGCCGAGAAATTTTTGGAGGCAATCGAAGGAAATAGTAATTATTCCTTACTGTTGCTTCATATTGTGGATAATGATTCATTTGAAAGTATGGTCAGGTTGGCTGCAGCCATCACGTTCAAGAATTTTGTTAAAAGACAATGGCGTGTGGTTAGTATTATATATTGTTAACACCAGACCTCGGTAACAGGTTGCCAGACGTATATGGGATTTCGGTGGTGCAGTCGTTAGAGCAAATGCCTTTCACCTCTGAGATTGTAGGTTAGATTATCACTATGGACTCATGTGAAAAGCATCTGTCACTCAATGCAATGCAAACGTTGTGATGACAGTGTGTATTGAAAGTACTATATTCATAATAATTGTAAAATTTGCAATGTTTTATTCAGTTTGGGATGGAAATGTAAGAGGGAGGATACCGGTAGTGTAACTTGCATGTAATAGTTGTTTGTAGTCACACTGTGAAAAGGCTTGGGGGGTTTTGCTTAAAATTAAAACCGAAAAACCGTCTGCTTCTAAACCGGTAAAACCGGAAAACCGTTTTTTTTCCCTTTAATTTTTACTTCAACTGAATGAGCAAGAATTGTGGTATTTTTTGACATAAGAAAACAAACAGTACACGACAAAACGCAAAATTGTGCAAAGGTAACCTAAAACGACTTCAGTTTTAAAATAAAAGGGTCAAGAACGCATTTGAAAACTTATACCTCTTTAGTTCTTACCGACTTTATGGAAAAAGAATAGAATTTGTATCTAGTGTCATGTAATTGAGTTTAATTAGTGTCATGTTTTGAGAATTAAGATCGAGTTTTGGGCGATGACATCATGACAGTAAACAATTACGTAATGACGGTTTTCCGGTTTTTGTAAAAGCTAAACCGAAAAAACCAGTTTGAAAATAAAACCGAAAAAAAACGGTAAACCGCCCAAGCCTAACTGTGAATGTTAACCCATTGAGTCACAGCATTCTCCCCCTGATGAGTAAAATCATCTGGCATTAGACAGAGTGAAACAATAAAGTAGTGTGCATCTGGGCTCATTGCCACTTTAAAGGGTTTATTTTAAAATGTTCAGTCAGTCTCCTTTCTCTGGGTATATTCAAGCATTGTATTAGATGTAATTTCTGGTTGTAAAATTGATAATGTCATGATCTAGATCATCGATTTATGCTGTTCCACCCTGATGTAGATTCCCCTTGTCACAGCCTAATTAGGATATCTTTTTTATCCCTTAGAGTGATGGAAATCCAAATAAAATTACACAGGATGACAGACAAAAGAGTATGTTTATATTTACCACTTATTTACTCAGATCGAGGAAAACAGCATATTTTGTGGCCCCTGGATTGCTGTTCCCCGACCAACGAGCTTGCAGTTGTGTTTATTATATAGCAAGTGTCAAAGTCTCAATAATTCACCTGGTATTTTGAAACTGTAATAAAACTGACCGGCAAATATGCTGAAACTCTTGAAAAACCTTCGCTTCAAACTTGCTGGTTGACATGAACAACTTGCGCTTTACTTTCGGTCTTGTTATTGAGCGGCCAATAATTGTTTCATTGTTGACAAGTTATTCCCTCGCCAAAGCATGCAGTGAACATGACATTTTCAACAAAACAGTAAAAAAAATGGTTAAGCTAAGGTTGTGTGACTGGCAACTCTCATGACGTTAGAGCTTTCACTTCTGAGTACCTGGGTTCGATTTTTACTATGGACTCATGTGAAAAGAAACGTGTGTTTTCTCTGGGTGCCCTGGTTTCCTCCCACAGGGAAAGTTGACAGGGTGTGTTAGGATAAACACAGTTAGGAGAGTAATATCACAATTGTTGTAAAGATAAAATAGTCTAGGGTGAGTATATAATTAGGTAATACTTGATGTAAATTGCATTTGATCGTATCCACATGTAAGTTTGCACCATGGAAATGTTATTATAAAATAACATGTATATAACATGTGCTCTGATTGGTCGAAACCCGTGTTTGGATCAGGCCATCCAAACACGGAAGACTATCGTGTTGTTGTTATTTTATAAAGCAATCACTTTATGGTTTCCATGTTAGGATGGCCTGATCCAAACACTTGGAAATGTTGCTCGAGTTAAGAAAAGCGCGCAAAATCACTTGCCTTCGGCTCGTGTTTCGCGCGCTTTTCTTAACTCTCGCAACATTCCCGCGTGTTTGGATCAGGCCATCCAAACACGGAAACCATAAAGTAATTGTATAATCGTAATCACTCTCATCCTTTTTTGATCATTGTTTAATTCTTTTAGTTAAGGTTTTGATTATTGATTTGATGTTGAAGAGCCCCCCACAGTTACAAAGTCAAGTAAGTGGGGCTATCACATTGTTCTAGTTCGCTATAATTTTAGTCACTGAAAGATTGTTCCAGACTAATTGACCAATCCTATATTAATCAATATTTTGATCTTAATAAGTCTAGACAAAATTCCATCACAGCATGAAAGAGCACCACAAAATTTGTAATATTTCAAAGTTTCGTTACGAAATGTTGTAAAATGCGGATAATATAACCTTGCGAAATTTGCAATTTTCAGTCATTTTGTATTACGAGCGGGAAATGGTTACCATTTTTCCAAAATTTTGATCTCAACTAGCCTAAACAAAAATTTCATCACACCTTGAAAGAGCATCACAAAATTAGTAATATTCCAAAGTTTTGTTGCGAAATGTTGTAAAATGTGGATGATATAGCCTTGTGAAGTTTGTAATTTTCAGTCATTTTGTATTACGCACGGAAGTGGTAACCATTTCCCGTTTGTAATACAAAATGACTGAAAATTACAAATTTCGCAAGGCTATATTATCCGCATTATACAACATTTCGCAACGAAACATTGGAATATTACTACTGTAATTTTGTGACGCTCTTTCAAGCTGTGATGAAAATTTTGTCTAGACTGGTTGAGATCAAAACTTTGGTTAATGTGGGATTGGTCCATTGTGGTGTGTATTTTTCTTTAGTTAAGTGATGCTGTCAGTATTATAGGAAGGGAAGATTTTCCAAGGAAATGGCCGAATCTTCTGCCGGTAAGGATAGAAACTACCTTGAATGTGTTTAGGAAAAAGCATGCACAAGTGTTTTGGGAATTAATTATCTTGTCAATTACTTCTGAAGGAAATGGTGAAAAAGTTTAATAGTGGAGATTTTCATATCATTAATGGTGTCTTGAAGACAGCGCATTCCTTGTTTAAAAGGTTGGTCTGGATTGTGACTTAAGCAGAAGCACATAGTAATAGTTGCTACGTGGAACTTAAAGTTGGTTAGTGATTGACTGATTGTGCAGCAATCTGAAATTACCGATTACTCATTATTCATGCCACAATCTAGCCACAGATGATAGATTGTACCAGATGTCTCACTGTAATTTTAATAATTTATAATAATTTAATAACTGTGTATCTATCCCTATGATTTTCGTGTCCGCGATTTTCGCGAGGCTATCACGCCAGATGACGCGTGCGACACTTACTCATAGAGATTATAAATAACACTAGAGGAGGCATCGTAATCTTAATTCAGTAAAAAAAAGGGAACGCGACTATTGGGGGGCAAATTCAAGTCCCGGATGTGTATTCGTGTTCCCATTGGTGACGAGTTTCAAATCAGCCAATGAAAGCACGATTTTATATCTGGGACTTGAATTTGCCCCCCATTAGCTGCGTTCCCAATTTTTAAACTCGATGCCTCCTCTAGTGTTATTTATAATCTCTATGCACTTACTGCCAAAATGGCGCTTACTGCCAAAATGCATGATTGCTCACGTTTCATGGCGTGTATTACACTTACTGCCAAAATGGCGGCCAACGCGTGCTCATAAAAAATCACGGACACAATTTTTGCTGAGTGAGACATCTGGTACAATCTATCATCTGTGATCTAGCCGATGCCGATTTTGAAATGACGTCAATATCAGTCAACTAAGAAAAGGTGACGTCATTCATGTCGATTTTTAACAATTTCCAACGTAACATATGTTACTAAACATATGTTTAATACTACAACCAAAGATTGTTAAAACCGTTAATAATGACACTCGCGCTGTCGCGCATTAATTTAACATATTGCGTTGAAACGCAACGTGTAATGCATATCATTTTTAAAGTGCGTATTTTCTCAACCATTGATTTTAGACATTCGGAAATATAGATAATTCTACCGATTCCGATTGTCTACCGATAAGACAAAAATTGGCCCGATGCCGATATCGATGCCGATTATCGGTCAATCATTAAAGTTGGTCGTCGTTATTCTTTTTCAATTAGTTTTGTCTCTACAAAACTTTAAAGTTAATTTAGTTTAGGTTTCTTACTTTAGTATATATAGATCCAATAAGCAATGTATACCGAAGTTGGTCTATTTATGTTCCTTTTGGGTTACTGTAGGTATCGACATGAATTTAAGTCACAAGAGCTCTGGGAGGAGATCAAGATTGTTTTAGATGGTTTTTGTGAGCCAATCACTGAATTACTCAAGGTAGTTGACGCAATGACTAAATACATAATACAACTGTAGTAAGCAGGTATCCAGTATTATCATGTGAGCAAAATAAAGCAATATGGTTGGTTAATTTACTCATGAATTATTAACGAGTTTGAGATTTTCAGTTGTATCTCACTTGTACTGCCATGATTAGTGCCGCGTACTTGAGCTGGTACAAACTGAAAGTGAAGACTCCTGCAGGCGTACTTATAGTCGTTAAGATGAAGTAAATAAAGCGCAGTTTTCTAAAAGGTATTCATTCGGAAACCTGAAGCAGCATTAAATTCTAAAATTTTCTTTTCCCTGTCTATTGTTCAAATAACCATATTCTTGCTCTGTTTTCTACAGACAACCATGGATCTGGCTAATAAACACAGCAATAATCCAGAATCTCTGAAGATCTTGTTCAGTTCTCTTACCTTAATATGCAAGATTTTTTACAGTTTGAATTCACAGGTGAATGCTCTAGCATTGATAGGTTAGAGGTGCTTGCATCTATACAATTTGGAATATATATTTCAGAACCATCCTCGGAGATACGAAAAACTAGTTTCATATTAATCGTATCTCTGAGGATGGTTCTGAAATAGGGTTGAAACACTGCGCGTCCTCTAAGACAAGCGTTAAGTCGTCACGAAAATATTTCGTGCACTTAAATTGGATAACACTCGCTACCAATCCCTGTTGACTCGATAGCTCAATAGGTAGAGCGGCGGTCTAGATACCCGAAGATGCGAGTTCAAATCCCGCTCGAGCCAACGAATTTTTCGTTGCTCGATTGCAGTGTCAGATTAATATGGAATATATATAGTGCATCCATTCTTCCCAACACATTATGCCACTGATAACTTGGTGCACATTGATATATTATATAAAATAAAATGTAAAAATTAAAAAGAAGCTTACAGTTCTTCACTCAAAATAGTGTGATCATTAGGCGATGATGCTTGACTTTTGGTTTATAATACCTCTGCCAAAAACGTGGTATTGAGCATTTTTTCTACACTATGAATTAAATTTGACCATGATTGTTCAAAACAAATTACCACTAGAATACAAAGAATGACATGATAAATACGCCCCACGAAGTAGAAAAATATTTTATTACCGACAATGGAACATCCAATCACTGGATCGTGACTGGATGGCATGGAGAACCGTGGGATTTTCAAAACAATGAAAAGACAATGGAACATTCTGATCACTGAATCGTGACTGAATGGCAAAGAGAACAGTGGGATTTTCAAAACAGTGAAAAGACAATGGAACATTGCATTTACTGGATCTTGACTGGATGGCATAGAGAACAGTGGGATTTTCAAAACAATGAAAAGACAATAGAACATTGCGATCACTGGATCTTGACTGGATGGCATAGAGAACAGTGGGATTTTCAAAACAATGAAAAGACAATAGAACATTCTGATCACTGGATCTTGACTGGATGGCATAGAGAACAGTGGGATTTTCAAAACAATGAAAAGACAATGGAACATTCTGATCACTGGATCCTGACTGGATAGCACAATTCTTATGCTAAGCAACCTTTTGATTTTAATTCCTTTTCTAGGATCTACCTGAGTATTTTGAAGATCACATGGAGGAATGGATGAAACACTTTCTTGTTATATTAACGACAGACAATAAATTATTGAAAACGGAGGTCAGTTTCCGTTTAGTACTTTCAACATTGCCATGCATCGCACTAGTAGATGGAATAAAGTCGAGCATTAAGGCCGTTTTCCACTTCAACCGTATCGAAGCGTAGCATGTTTCTTTTGTTTCCTTATCACTAGAGTGGAATTAACGACTTCGACAAAAAAGAAAATGCTACGATAAGTTACGATGTGGTTGAAGTGGAAAATAGTCGACTAGGGCTGCACCGAAACCAATTTTTAAAGTTCCGGCCGGAACTGGATCTGGAAAAAAGTTCCGGCCGGAACCGGAACCGGAACTGATTTATTAAGCCATATATAGTCATGTAACTTTGTCTGCTGCCAGACAGGCAGACACTTCAAGTCATCAAGGAGAGAGTTCGCAAATGTTAGAATAAAAAGATTGACAAACGTTAAACGTCGTAATGAAGTGTTAAAGGTGTATATTTTCCATATGTAGTCCGAATTTCTTCCTACTGTGAACTTTTGTTACACACAAAAACGTTTGATATTCTATTTATTTATTTATTTATTTATTAGTTTCGCCATATTACAATACACAGAACTATAACAAGAACAAGAATAATATACATGACTATAGGCAGGGTGACCGAGGCAGGGTGACCGAAACAGCGTGAGCCAATTAGTTTCTATCTCTTTGAAAATAACAGAGTTCCGGTTCCGGTCATGCTTTTTTTATTAGTTCCGGCCGGAACCGGAACTCTGAAAAATCGGGGTTCCGGCCGAGTTCCGGTGCACCCCTAATAGCCGTTAGAGTTTTCTCAACTCTCGTGTCCCCGTCAAACGAAAAGAAGAGTTGCACGGGAATAGACCTTTCCCCTTTTGAGTGAAATTTTGATCTAGACAAGTCTGAACAAAAATTTCATCACAGCTTGAAAGAGCATCACAAAATTAGTAATATTCCGAAGTTTCGTTGCGAAATGTTGTAAAATGCGGATAATATAGCCTTGTGAAGTTTGCCGTTTTTCAGTCATTTTGCATTACAAATGGAAATTGAGAATCAGATGATCAAACTGATTATCAATTTCCCGTTTGTAATACAAAATGACTGAAAAACGGCAAACTCCGCAGGGCTATATTATCCGCATTTTACAACATTTCGCAACGAAACTTCGGAATATTACTAATTTTGTGATGCTCTTTCAAGCTGTGATGAAAGTTTTGTCTAGACTTGTCTAGATCAAAATTTCACTCATAAGGGGAAAGGTCTATTGACGAGAGGTAACTGGATATTATCGGTGAAACAAGCGAAAACTTGAAACTCGAGAGTTAGCTGTCGGTTAAACGCGAGCGAGAGTTGCAACTCTCATCAACTCTCGACCTCGTTTGACCGGGCCTGTTATAGGGTAGGCGTAATTTTGTAAAACGAGATTGCTCAATTTCATTTTAATGAAGCTCTTTCTTGTAGGATGACGAAGAAGCAGGTCCACTTGAACTGATTAAGTCTCAGATATGTGACAATGTCTCCATGTACGCACAGAAATACGATGAAGAATTTCAGGTAAGTGTGCTGCAAGTGCAACCAACAGAACTGTTATAGATGGTGAATGAACGATTGTTCAGATATATAATATTGTTCAATCAATACATTTATTCAAGGTACCTTTAGTTAATACATTGAATTTAAGAAAAATGAACCAATAGTAATATAATAAAGAAAAGTACAAGGTCTTTGCTGGAGAATGTAGAGGTTAGCCCTATAACAAAATCCCCTTGTTTGTTGTTTTAGCCATATCTCCCAGGATTTGTCAGTGCTATATGGAACTTGCTTACGACGATTGAAAACAGAGTCAAATATGATCTGGTTTGTATTCATCGTTTTGTATCAGTTGATAAGTACTAGATAAAACATGAGCAGAGATAAGTACTAGATAAAGCATGAGATACAGATCGGATGCGAATGTTTTGTCGTACTTAAAAAGAGTTCATTGGCGAAGTAATGTTAAAAATAAACATTGTCTAAGCCGATAAAATCAAAGCTGAAGTTTATGTAAATCAGGACAAATCTTTATCCGATTTACAAACATTGATTAAACATTCATTTCTTTTGTATTTTCCTCGTGAATTATTAATTAATTTTTAAAGTTTATTTGTTGATATACAGTTGTATATTGCGTCAGAAGTCGCGTTTAGTGATTGGCCGATTGTGTCACAACCGGAAATGACCGATTACCGATCTTCATGCAACAATCTAAGAGATACCAATTTTATAATGAAGTCATATTGTCAGTCGACCAAGTAAAGGTGACGTCATTCGTTTCGATATTTTAACGATCATTTCCTACGTAACCGAAGTTCGTTAACAAATAAATGGCACGTTTCACGCTTAACGCACACTATATAATTTTTAAAGTGCATGCGTATTTTCTCAACAATCGGTTTTGGACAGTCGGGAATACAGATAACTCTAGAATTGGTTCAAGTCCGTCTCTCAAGGGGTTGAAAATAGCGATGCACACGAGCGGTCAAAAAAGGCGCGTAAATATGAGAGAAAAGTAAGGAGAGACGGACTTGGATACCCTGCAAGCGCGCCATTTTACCGTCGGATTTTTCCTACGGAGGCGTGGCTTGCGAGTTGAGAACAACAACAAATATTCGCGCCAATTTTTGCAAGTAACATTCGAAATGCTGCAAATGTCCCAAGTCGTTTCTCCCTACTTTTCTCCTGAGACGGACTTTGAACCAAGTCTAAGATAACTCTAGCGAGAAAAAAAATTTTGCCTTAAAATTTTTTTGGAAAAAATTTGTTCTGAATAAGAATGAGATATTAATACTTCTTGAGGTCTTCTCGCCACTCCCTTTCCTTTCAATGTGACATACATAAATATAAATGTACCTTAATTTTATCACAATAATCAATGTAAATTTACTGATTGAAGTGGTAAGTAAATTGAATTGAATTGATATTGAATTCTACCAATTCCGATAAGGCGAAAATCGGCCCAATACCGACATAGGTCAAGCACTAATAATTGAATCTTATAATTGAGCATCTCAAGTATGTGGCAATAATTCATTGGCGTACCAGTTATGTTAAAAATCTTGAATTGTCGCATCTGCAGATCGTCGCTCAAAACATCGAAGTTTTTTTCTATATTTTTTATGTAGTTTGAATTTCACTTTGAGTACCTCAACCAACAGAACTAAAGGCGGTTTTCGACTAGGCGAAATTTTTCGATCGAACTGAAATTTCTATAGTTTAAATTCAAAAGATTTCTGTTTAGTTCCATCTGAGTGCTTGTAAGACAAAAGAAAATTTCGATTCGGTCGAAAAATTTCGCCCAGTGGAAATAAACCGCCTCAAGTGAAACGTACGAAATAGGACTGGTGGGGGTGATGATGATGATGATGGTGGTGGTGGTGGTGATGATGGTGGTTTCTACATACTAAGGAGTTTCCGTTATATTTTGTAGCTTGTGAGCAATGCAATACAATTCTTGACATCTGTATGTGAGCGATCTCATTACAAGGGATTGTTTGAAGATCAAAGTAATTTACAGAGTATTTGTGAGAAGGTTATCGTACCCAATATGGAATTCAGAGGTAAGATTGCTCTATATTGAATGGATTGTACGATTACAGCTTTATTACTGTAAGATCGGCGTACCTCCGGTAAGAAAGTACGCGAATCATCGCACCCCAGAGTGACTGTGTTTCATCGGAAACAAGCGACGATTTTTATTCAAGAATGCCGTCCGGAAGTGAACCGAGCCACTATATGTAGATGGCGACAGCCGTTCTTGTTTGAAATCAAGGATGTGCAATTACATTACAGTTATTGGCACGAATGTATCTAGACATGCTATTATAGGCAAATTGTGGTACCATGCGCCTTGTGCATGAGTCAATTCCTGGAGTAACCATCCCCCCCCCCCCCCGGGACCCCCCCGGGAATT